TTTAGACTCACTAGGAGCACTTCTATATATCTCTTGAGGTTCTTCTTATTTCTAAATATTTTTCAAAATTTCTTAGCCAAATAAGCTATTCTCATATCATTAATGGTCTCAGTATCAGTAGAGTTATACTATTATTCCTTAACAATGTTCAAGGCTATAGACTTTTTCTATTTAGGTTGAGATACGGTGAGTTCATAAGTTTGGAAAGATCCAACTAATTCTTCAATCTTAACCACAACTATCCTTGCTCTCCTCAAAGCTGTTATATTAGGCTTAAATCTCTCAAATAAGGATTTAAGAATTTTTTTTTGAAAATCTTAGGCTTAGGAATTCTCTCATCTAGGTTGAAGCTAGAATTAACTAAGTCATTCAAACTCTTATAGAATTCATCAAAGGTCTCATCATCCGTCATCATAATCGTTTCAAACCTAGTAGTCAACATTTGTAACTTAAAGTTCTTAACAGCCTAAGTTCTCTCATGTGTAGTCTATAAAATATCTCAAACCTCTTTCTCAATCTCACACTGACACATGCCTAAAGGGGGGTAAATAGATGAATAATGCGGAATTAAAATGAGCAATTACACTCATCTAACTTAGTCTTTGAACAATTAGCTATATGAGTAAGGGTGACAACACCATTATCGCTACTAGAAGGAGTGGCCCAACCATACACTAAACTCAACTAAATACTCTCATCCATCCATTTTAGGAAGTCTTTCATTCTAACTTTTTAATTGTTATAGTTACTGCCATTGAAATATGTTGAGACAAATAATAAACTACTCATTTAAAAAATTAAGGTCAAAAATTGAATTTTGGGCTCTGATAACACTTGTAAGCTCAAATTTATCGAATATTTAGACCCAACGTGTGAAATTATACAATAAAAAGCAACAAATCACTTTAATTGTTTTAGAAGCTTAGTCAATCAAGTCAGCTTTATCCTATGTTGAATTGCAAAAATAACAAATAAAAGCGATAAATCACACAATATATGTTGATGGAGAAAATCCTTTATAGGAATAAAAACTCTAAGACCAAGTCAACGACTTCCACTATAAACAATAAAAACTTACAGTACGATCTAGACTAAAAAATCACTAGACTCGCTGATTTAATTCCTATAAACTTCAAAACCTGCAGGAATGTACTTCACTCACACCTATTCTCAATCTTTTGAAATTGTTTACCTTCTGTGAATCACCAAAAACACCTAGTTCTTGTACTTTTCATGAACTTTTGGTCAAATTTTCCTCATTTTCCAGCAACCTCTAAAAGCTATTGAGAAAGTACTTTTCTGATTATTTTTAGGAAGTGGGTATTTTGGATTATATGATTTTAATATTTTTGTTCCAACTTGTAGTTGATTGATCCTAAGATATAGAATTGTTGTTTGATCTTCGAAGAATGTTATAAAGGTAGAAAATAATGATCAACCACACTTTTCATGAAGTGAGGCTTATGTATTTATAGTAGAGAGGTATTGGGGTGTATAGGATAATGGAACTCTTAAAAATTGCGAGCTGTTTCTCGAGAAACATCATCGTTCGAGGACCAAGCTAGTGTTAGGCTAGCGACAGGCGTATTGCTCAAGCGACAGGCGGGCGACAATGATTTTTTTTTTTTTGGATGCTCTAGCATCAGTTTAGTGACAAGCTAGCATAATTCCAAAAGACTCTCTCTCCATGTTCCATACTTGAATTTAATGACTCCTAAGTCATCTATGCAACATTCCAAAAGACTCGTTGACTTTTATAGTTCTTTTATATTAATATTTTTGTCTAAATAATAGCCAATACATATTAAAACCTAACAGGACCCATAAATATCACTATTACAAACCTTCATTTTTTTGATAGTGAAGTTTTAGTTTCATTATGGATTCTTATTGGGTTTAAGGTTAGACTTATTAGAGGAAAAATTACCCTAATTCCTAAACTTTAGTTTCAATTTCAACAATGAAGTGTAGAGCAAAATTTTATCAAAATTGATACGTAGCCCAGTCCATCGCACCCCTTCAAAAAAGAGGGGGGGGGGGGGGAAAAAAAAAACCCTTTAAAAAAATCCTAAACCC